GACTTTTGGGTATCTAACCAAGAGCACAGTAAGCCATCTGTGACAAAAAAAGCTCAGCTTGGTCAGTGTGGATATCTGTATACTCCACACATGAGTATTCATGATTGCACAGCATGGAAGATTAGTGCTTTTAATGTTATCCCAGAAATGGATTAATTTTGTTGGTACAAATAAATTTTCAACATATAATATGCTACAGAACATAACAGAAAGTTTATTAATTTTTTTTTACTATTTTAAAGGATGCTGTTTTTCCTTGCCGCTATAAAATGCATTCCTTTCTAGACATGAAGGAATGAATAAAATTAGTGGTTTCTGAAAGGGTTCTATAAAATAATTCCACTGCAGGTTATTTGATTTTATGGCAAAGCATGGAAAAGGGAGGGTGGTAGTTGAAGTAAATTTAAGAAATTCTGTAAGAGGATATGGTTACAAAAGAAAAATTCAAAAATATTTTGACTAGTGTACCTTTCCCCATCCCAAAGTCATTTCTGGTAGCTAATATTCAGTAGAACACACTTTAAGAAATTTTGTAATAGAGTATTACTTCATCTAATTATAGCACCTATTTATTATCTACAATTTGAAATGTCCTTGTAAGTTCAGAGATAAATTCAATGTGGATCCAGCTTCCAACTTCTTATAATTTATAAAATATGTGTAACATAATAAGAATAAAGCAATGACGATACCATAATATAGTTTTAACAAATGAGTTTGGTATTCAGGGAATAGAGGGATAACCTTCAGTTAAGGGAATTTAAGCCTTAAGAAGATTGAATTTTGGGTGGGCCTTGAATAAAGAAAATCAAGAAGAACTAAGGCATTTGATAATTATATGAAATTGAATTATTGAAAATTTATCTAAAAGTATGGATACATACATAGCTACCAAAAGATAGGGCAAGTGCCCAAACAGCTTATAGTTATTTTTTTTGATAAACAGAATCAGTGTATACTTATTTTTTGTCAATTTATTGTGCTTAGCCCAGGGATTTAATAACTTACCTTCAAAGAATATATAAAATAATAGTGAAGACAGAAAACTTACTACTTAAAAAATAATAAATAGTGTGATAAGAATATGCAAATGTGCTCTGTGAGGACAGAGAAGGGGATTAGACATTTATCTTAAACTTGAAACTTTATGGCTGGCTCACTGAAAATAAGAATAAAGTAAATAAAGGTAAAAAAAAAAAGGGGGAGGTATTTATTCAGCCCTAAAGAAAAGTACATAAAAAGACCTTGAGTTAAGATGAACAAATGAATTTTCAGAAACTAATTGCAGCTCAGTATAGGACAGTTTTTCTAACAAAATTGTGGAGAACTGAGGAGATGTGAGGAATGAGTTTTATCTAATTGCCACAGGAGAAAAGGAGGTCAAAAGTGTTAAAGAGGGGAAGAGACAGCGACAGAATGAAGGAACAGTAGCACAAAGCAAGAGAGAGAGCAAAGTAAATTTAGGGAGAGTGAGAGAATTGTGGGGGGAGAGTGAGAGTTCCGGTCGTACGTGTGATGATTTGAATAATTTTCTGTTTAAGGTTTGACTGAGCCTATGAGCTGTAAAGATGAGGAAGGACAGAACATTAGATTTGAATGCTTTTAAAAATCTGGAAAGATTAAAAAATAGATGTTAGAGACATCAAAGACACTTGTTGTTACAAGTACAATTTTGAGAAAGTCGAGAATCAGAGATCAACAGATAACAGCATTGAAGATCTGGCAAGAGAATTATAAGCCGAAGACTAGGCTCAGAATAGTTTTAGGGACTTTTAAAAAGTGATAAAGACCTTTGGTTTGCTTAGGTTTCTTCCACTTCACTGATTTAAAAATAAAAATTGTAAGTGTCAAAATCATATTCTCTAAGGGACTATCTACAGTAGAAAATGTTGCATCTAATTTTAAATATCAATGTATGATTTATTTCTACAGAAAATTATATAAATAAAAATCTATGAGAAGATTAATTATGGCAAGTTGCACTATGTTATTGTCAGTATTTCTACATTAAATATTCAGTTAAATTTGATGTCATTATTAATTTACTGTTCATTTAAAGTTATTAATTGCTCAAAAGACATGTCTTGAATTCTACCTGGATGCAAATAATTCTAGTAGGTTACATATTTATAACATTTGTTATTTTCATAATTTTCTTTGATTTAATTCTTCTAAAATTCAGTTTAATAATCTAAGACATGCAGTCATGAATATGGCTATTTTGAGTGTAAAGTGGAAAAGGTAGAACAATTGGAAACTCTTTTTTAGACATTGTTTATCATATTACTCTTATTTTTTTGTATATCATTTGCTCCATCTGAATGTATTAATTTATTCATGTTATTGTCTTTATTTTCACTTTATAAAATCATGAATTGGTCTATCTTGTTACAACTGTACTTCCAACTCTTAGCATCAGTATTTGTCATATAGTAAGTGCATAGTAAATAATTATTGAATATACTTCATTTCTTCATTATCAAGAGATGAGTCTCACTGACTTTATACTGGAATGAACCTTTATGAGCTTACTTTCAAATGACTATAGTTATTTCATATAGAGTACCAATCAGTTATATTTAAGAAATATCTCTTTTATTATTTAAGTAATTGATTTTCTAAATTAATTAGTTTAATGGAATCATTCTAGGTGGCATATGTTCTCAGTCTTTCATTTCTAGCATCTGATAACATGTGAAATATGTTGCAAAAATATGTAGATTCACTTACTAGACTTCTCCATAAACAAAGTCATATTTTGCAAGTCGTGTTTAAATAATGAGTGGTACTGGTTGACCACATTTGGAAATTCTATGTAACACCCTTAATAACCAATGAAGATACTTTTCTTTCTTTGTGGCAGGGGGTACTATGGTCCATTTGCTTTCTAGTTCAGTGTCTTGGCTATTCTACAGTCCGCTTCATGAGGTGAAGAACTGAGGCTGTCAGGGATATCCCCTTAGTTCCACCCCTGCTAAACTGCCATTATTTTCCCACCTCATGGATGTTATGCCTCTACCTATTGCAGTCCTAATATCTTCAGTTCCACCTTTGTCAATTCCTGAAGGTGAATTCAGGCTCCACACTCTAGTTCCTTAGTAGCTATTACTCTCCTTTACTGAACTCTACTGCTGAAATTATCTTTGATGTACCTGAGAATGAAGGGAATTTATCCTTTTTATTGTCTGCTTCATCTTCTTTCCTATCTCAATTTTCTTGATATCCTTGTTGAGTTGCTTTTCATTTATTGGATCTCATAAGGACCTCTCTCCAAACGTTGTACTTTATTATATTATAACCATTACAACATTATAATCTCCTTAAATTTAGAAATTTGTACAGACTGTCAAAATATAATTTAAAATTTTTCTAATGGATATTTATGCTCACCAAATCAGGGAATCGAAGATTACCAAAATGTAAATCAAATTCTGGCAGGAAACACGCTATACTATTGAAAATATAATCATACCAAGTCCAAATATTTTTTTATCCAATTTGCTGTTTGAATCAAACCAATCAACAGCAAACAAAAATAAATGTAACTTGGATATTTTCTGAAAGTAATGAAGCAAAATTTTAAAACTCAAGTCTTAAAATTATACAGGTGAATTACATATATTTACTAAATTCAGATATGAAAAATCAGCCAGCCAGACAAATAAACAGGGTCACCCCTATGAAAAGAGAAAAAAGAGTGTTAATAGGTAAGAGTTAAAGAGAATACATTCCAAAGCAGGGAGAGAAATGAGAAATGTGTGGGATAAAACCTAACTTGTCATGTCCGAATCCAGGAAAATTGGATTACACAGTAACGTTGCCAAGCCCATTTTATATACCCACGGGCACAGTGATATAACAAAGGTAAATTTTTATGTATTCCATGGCAGGTGGTCATTCACCGAAAGTGATGGTTAGCTCCCAAACATCCTAGTAAATGTTGGTTTTGGGGGATAAAAGAAGAGGGTATTAGATAAAGAGTCCTTACATCACCATCTCTTTACCTCACCACTGATTACGTGTATGATGACAGATATTCCAATGTTCTCCTACTGGTCCCCTAGAATAATTGACTGCCAGGCATACAGATAAGAGTTATAATCATCTTACTCCAACACACACACAAACAAATAAATCAGCTGTCTATTTTGCATTATGATGAAGAAAACTGTTAAGCTTTGATGATTGATATATACACATCACATACTGGTTATTATAAAACCTTAGTCTAAAATTCTTCTTAACTGTGTAATACTCTTTCTTTTGAGAATGTTTTACATTAGCTTTATAACATATACCTAGAAATATCTGGGGCATAGTTTCAGAATTTTGCCTTAAGTGCCTTGGTTTATGGAGATTATGAAATGGTTACTTTGTGACTAGATATGTTGGGACTAAATATATATTCCAAAATACAATCCGTTTTCTGTTTAACTGACTATCAGTTAAAGCAGACTTCCAGTGTGTTAAAGAAGTATGTATTATAAAGAAAGTTAATCATGAGAATGTATCACATTGGGAAATGACATTAAAATAGTATTGTCCTATAAAATGAAATTGCAAAATTTGCCATTAAATGTGAAATATTGAAAATATATTGGATGGAAAAAGTATATCTATTACTTTGAAGTCTTTCTGCTTTATAATTATACTGTATTAATACATACGTGGGTAACACAGTGACCAGCACCATCAGTGCAGCTTCTATTATGTTTATTACTATCAATGTAATAAATTTGGGTGACTCAAAAGTCATGCTGTTTACAGTTGATTTTATTAATATATACAACCTAATTGGAGCAGGATGTGTTTGAAATCACACTATTCTATAATTGACTTTTCTATGCATAAATAACTACCTTATTTATGCTTAAAATTTAATAATGCAAACTCATGAATATTGTATACAGGTAGAAAAATGTTGGAGGTCCCGATTCAGTGAAAACGTTTACTGCTGAAAAGCTTTTTAAATTTTTTTGTTGTTGTCTTTCATAATTCAGGTTATCTGGAATGAATATACCACCACCAATTATCAGCAACAAAAACTGGCTCAGACTGCATTTTGTTACAGACAGCAATCACCGATATCGTGGATTTAGTGCTCCGTATCAAGGTATATTTAATAAATACTTCTGCCTCTTGTAAAATGTGTAAAATGATTTTGGTACACACAACTGCATTTTGTGATGGAAGTAAAATATCTTTAGCTTTAACAAATGATTACTTGAGTAAGCACAAATAGTCATTCTCTTGCTTGGGCAATAATGTGATCTTAACTAAATTACAGTATAAAAGTTAGTTGATTTTTATAGCACAATATTCATAATAAAGAATATTATGACCTCTAAAAGGTAATATGTAACAGATGTTATATAGTTTGTAAAGTGCTTCAGTAGTTGGACATGCTAACTAAAGCCGTATCATAAAACACTACAGAAAACCTGCAGTTGTAAATAGTCTCTTTATCAATTGAAATTCATTTTAATATAGTACATTTGCTATTGCTAGTTTAATTAACCTTGTTAGGATGATATTGTCTAGCATATTTATTAACAGACATAATTTTGAATAAGTGGGATATAATATTTGAAGTAAAATGAAAAAAACTCTTTGTTTAGAACAAGATTATGATGAAGATGGAGTGAGTACTAATGAAACTATAACTTCTACAATGTTCAGTAATATACTGTGGGTTTAGTGTACTTTATCCTCTGACTACTTATGTAAATAATTCATTTCATTCTCAGTAGTGTATCAGCTACTGTTCAGGGAATAGTGAGCATTGCCACAGTTACATTTTTCCATTGATCTTTTTTTTTTTTTTCCTCTTTTCCTTTTTAATAGTCTTCAGTCCTAAGTGCTTTGAAATTTTAGTATGGTGACTTTAGTCAGCTTATATTTAATACCTAAAATGGTAGACCACATATTGTTTTCTGAAACACAGATTTCAACAATCAGTTTATATTTTGCAGACCAGCAACCTCTCTATAAGTGTCCTGTCATAAGATTTCTCACAAGAATAGTAATTGGTATTTTGACATTTAGAATAGTGTATTTGGTATCACTGTAATAAGATAAACTGATGTAATAAATTAAAAGCAAAGATTTTAGACAAAATCTACTGTAGAAAAAGCTATAGTTTCTAATATAGTTAATTTGAATGGAAGTACAAATGTAAATATGTTCTTAAAGCTATGCATATTATCAATATTTCTCAGAGTATATTACTCAAAAATACTATATTTTAAAAGTAAAATTAAATTTCATAGAAAAACTTATTTTTATATATCATTAAAAATAGCTGTCCAGTGCATAGTAACTTGAATCTTAGCAATTTCAGCCAGTGTCACTTTCAAATTTGTAATAATATTTCATTGAGTGTCTAGTTTCAATTTCTAAAATTTTTGTGCCCTTAAGAAATCAGAGGACTTTTTTTACTGAAAAGAATTGTTGTAGAGCCTCTTTGTCTCTGGATTGAGCTTTTCCCTTGAATTTTCCAACCGCATGATTTTATGGCTCTGACACCCCTTTGTCATAAGTAAAGGCAGAAGAATGACATGGCAGAAATTCAAAAGTCTTATCTTTGAATCCTGATCTTTTCTACTGGATTCATGGAATCTAAGTCAGATGGCTTCTACTCTATGTGAATATAAATAAAAATAAAATAGCACTTATTTTATATTTAAATAACAACCTGGAGGAAAAAAAAATAGATCTTCTTTCTCAAAAATAGAGTGATACTTTGTTTCTTTTATGCAATATAGTTTCATGAAATGGGTATCTTTAGATGAGGTTATTTTGCATTATAAGATAATAATGCAAAGCCGACAGTAGATTTGTGTATTTTTGATTTTCAGTATTCTACTTGGTGATCTTAAATTGACTTTTATAGCGCTTTCAAGATTCAATTTGATTTTCCAGCCTTGACTGTCTGGTTTCAGCACAAATATAGCATATCAGTGAATTCACTGTAGTAAAATAGCAAGGAAGTGTTTTATGGAGTATGAAAAGAAGATAATCTTTGGTGTGATCGATACCTACACAATATAGGGAAAATAAAATGGCCTAAGAAAATGGAAGCTATGATTTTATAATAAAATCATAGTTTATTACATAAAACTATACCTTTGCATTGTAGCCTTTAAAAAATTTCCTGATTCAGGTTTAATTTTTCTCATTGTATTATCTTCAAATAATATTTTACCCAGAAAACAAAAATTCATTTGGAGAAGTAATTTTCAACTGTAATCAAATAAATTTAGATTGAAAAAACTTAATAAGCTAATTTAAATAGCTGTAAAATTCATAATTCTGATATATTTGAAATACATTCCCAAGCATGAAGTGGTAATAATGCTTTCTAGATTGTTCCTTGTTACCATTTAATTTCAGTGGCATCTAAATTAAAAGCAATTCAAGATAGAAAATTTGTGGATATACTATACAAAAGTCACAACCAAGTCTCCATGTAACCTGGTTTCTTAATAACTCCAATTCTTCTTAAGTAATTATCACTGATTTATCAATTATCTTGAAAACATTTAATGTTCTAATAGAGCTTAGGTTTCCAAAGACCGATTATTTTTCTCTTTAACCTGCGATTGTATAAAATACCATGAAAATTAACTGTAAACTACTAAGAGTTCCTGAATGACATGAGCTGTTTTTATAGTTTGTCTTATAATTGATGGAATAGACACATAGAGACGTCAACATGCTTTCTCTAACATAACCTCCTTTAAATTATGTTACAGGCTAGCTTCATTATTCCTTCAAATATTATAATTTAAATAGGGCTAAGTGGAATTTAAGGAGTACCTGCTAACAATGTAGTTCTGTTCTAATGCAAAAGTAGTAAGTATTTATTTAAATAAAATGCCTTTGATATGGAAAATGCTTTCCCTCCCCCAGGTCCCACATTGAGTCTACTCCTATCTAAAATAAGCAAAAACATCTCTTTTTTCCCCCTGAGTTTTATTTAAACCAGAAACCTCTTCTTTCAAAACTATTATTTCTTCTATGCTTCAAAAATGTTTCCTCTTTAATTTTCAGCTGTCCCCAATGAAAATCATTTCAGCATCATTTTACTGTATTAGTCTTTGTTTTTCAGTATTGTTCCTACATTCAAGGTCCATTTAACCTTTTCTAATGAGAACTTGAATTGCGCTGTTTCATACTTAAGTAGAATAACTGTTCTTTGACTGGCATGTTCAGAAGTTGTCTTATTTGTGAAAATTTTCATATTATTGTCACTTGATCCTTATTATAAACTTTAAATCTATTTCTTTTCCATTTCTATAAATATTTGATCATGTATTCTTAATTTCTAAATTGGAAGATTTTTCAGATGATAATTATCTCATACAGAAATTTTTACCATTAGAAGATTGAAAGTATTATTTTTTATCCATAAGGCTCAAGTATTCACATTTGAAATAGTATTACAACATTTTTCATTTTAAGTTATTCATTTTATGCTTTTTTTAATGTGCTGTCAAAGATGCTGTAGCTGTAGGTAATTACAGAATTATCTTTGGCATGTAAGTTTGGGAATTGCGGCATTTATTCTCTTCCAAATATCGAAATATATGACTATCTCTATATTATAAATTAAGTTTTCTAAATCCTTATAGATTTTCGTTGCATTTTGATTTTTTCCTTTTCTTCCATGATTTTGTTTATGCCATTCTTCTTGTGCAGGTTAATATTTTAAAGATAATTTTTCTCTCTATAATAAACATAACATCAAGAGTAACACAGTCTGTTTTCAATTTTTGAAGAAAAATATTTTTAGATAGGTTCTTCTCAAAGAGGTTATCATCATTTTGGGATCAGCTGTGCATCCTTTTGGTAAGAAAATATGTTCAATAGAACTTTCAAATTATGTTGAATAAATATACACTGTTATTAACCTCAGTTACACAGAGATCTTTCGCATTTTAGATGCCCATAATTTACGTGAAAATAGGTTTGGAGTTGTTATTCCATTTTTTACATTTGGAAATGTTTTGACAAATATATGTGCACAATGACTGAACAAAGATAAATAAGATTATCAGGGATGCAGTATAATATATTAGGAATGAAGAGGATTTGAGGTCAGAAGATGAGGGTTGAATTGTGAAGTTACTAATTGCTGTTTGAGTTGTCTGAGGCTTAGTTTCTCCATCTGTTAAAAGATTTACAATAGCCAAACACTTTATTGTTGTTTAAATCAAAAGATATTAAGAGTTTCTTATAGTAAAAGTCAGACATGTGGTGAATAAAGATGCTTCAGTAGAAAAAGATAAACATATGGAATGGGTGAGAAACAGTTTCTAACTGAGGCACAAATCATTTAAAACTAGTGATTAAACATAAAATTTGAATCCAGGAACCACAATTAAAAAGAGAAAACACTAGGTTTTATATTTCTCACTGTCACAAATAAGTATGCCCATGTTTCTCTAAGGAAAAAGCACTTTTCTGTAGAATCCAATTTTAAAATAGTGTTTATTTTTGTGAGTAAAACTGAGAAGCAGTTTCCTCTGTATAACAACTTTTTATATCATAAATATAACATATTTAAAAATAGAGCACAGAATCAAACTGTTTAATTAGATACATATATATGTATATATATACATGTATATATGTATTTACACATATGTATATACACATATATATGTATCTAATTAGTTAGATACACACCCATATTTTAATTTTGTTTAGACATCTGTTTTTATTGTTGAATCTTTATATATACATTGTTAATGAAAGGCCAGGAATCATATCCCGTAATTCTAATCATGAAGCTGCTCCTCTAATTTGAATAACTGTCAATATGAGTCAGGTTTATGATTTCAAGGTTGGTAGTGGGAGTGTGACATGATAAGTAAAGATCGAAACTTTTGGTTCGGAAAATGTAGGTGTAGTTGACTACCATGGGAATATTGGACTTGGGAAAATAGGCTACTTTTCTGGTAAAGACTGTGGAATTTGGTAGCAGTGGACTTTGTTAGCACAATTCAAGAATATGTATTTTTTCATATTATAGTAGGTATTAGTTAATTTTTAGAGAGTCCATGCTATGGGACAATTCATAAATTGTTTGAATCCTTATCTAAAAATAAT